GTCCAAAGGCTAACAGGCTAAGCTGAGGTTCTTCTTCCATGATTAACTTCATTTCTGAACATTTATGGTTTGATTTCTTTGTATGTATGGATCACTTGGGTTGTTACCGACATCTGGTGAAAATTTCATGTCATTAGCACCTCTAGTAATATATTTACTGAGAAAAATGTTGACGTGTTCAATACTTATTTTACCCGCTGTAAATGTGTAAACTGTTTATTGCAGATCATGGAGACGGAGCAGTGTTTGATCAGAGAGGTGGCGTTCTGGCTCACGCCTTCCTGCCGAGCGCTGACATCGGAGGAGATGTGCACTTTGATGCTGATGAAGAGTGGAGTCTGAATTCTACTGGTACTACAAACACACAACCGATCATTTCAACAGACTTTTGTTAGTTGTCGTATTTATAAATGTACAGAGGTGCTTAGTAACTAAGTACATTTACATTCTTACAGTACTTAAGTATTTTTTAGGAACTTTAATTTTACCAAGTATTTTTTAATAGTAACATTTACTTTTTTGTTACATTCAAAACATAAAAGTGATACTTTTACTTCTTTGCTTAAAATTTAACACATAATTAAACATCACAAAATTAAATACAACCAAACTCATCATAATAAGAGTTGTTTATGCACTCTTAAAAATGAAGTGTTGAATTTACTGAAGCAAACTGGCTCCACTAAACAAAGTTCAATAATTTTATTTCAAAGAAAATGTATAATGTATATTTTTATAAACTGCTTTACATTTACTTAAGTCAGTTTAGAGGAACCAGTTTTTATAAATTTGTTAAGTTAACCTTTACGTTCCTGATTATTGTGAACAGTTTTCTGACTTACTTCAGTACTTTTCTTATCAGTGAAATTTAGTTTTACCAAATTCATTTTGTGTTAAGGTATTTTTACATTTTCTTAATTAATTTGACTTTATACACCTCTGTAAATGAACAACTAACTAAGATGATTAGCAAATTTTTTTAAAGACAAAGGAACTTAAATCCTGCTTTGACTTTAGAGATGACTAAATATACTGCCTAGCCAAAAAACCAAGTGTCCACCTGGATGCAACTCAGGTCTATGATGTGGGGTCTCTGCAGGTGGTCAGGTCTAGGTTCAGTAACAGTCTGTGCTTAAAGAATGAGGTCAGCTGACTACCTGAATATACTGAATGAATGGGCTATTCCATCCATGGATTGTTTCTTCTCTGATGGCACGGTCATATTCCAAGATGACCTAGTAGTCCAAGAGATATACAATGTTTATCTGCATAAAAAGTACCAGAAAATGTGATGGTACCCCATTAAAGTACATCGCTTCCAAGTATTAAAAAATACATTTCTTACAAATATTCTGAAGGAACAATGTGGGTTCCATCCTGGCTGTGAAACACTGGACAAACTCTTTACCCTTACTAGGGTCCGAGGGGGTCATGGGAGTTTACTAATCCAGCCTATGTGTGTTTTATAGACTTGGAGAAGACATTTGACTGTGTTCCTCGAGGTACACTGTGGGGGGTGCTACGCAAGWATGGGATTGCGGGTCAGTTCTTACGGGCCATTCAGTCTATACAAGCAGTGCGAGAGTTTGGTTTGCATTGCCAGCAGTAAGTCGGACCCCTTTGGAGTGGACATTAGACTCCACCAGGGCTGCCTGTAACGTACATGGACAGAATTTCTTGGTGCAGCCAGGGGGCGGAGGGAGTCCCGTTCGGTGGCCTCAGGATTCCATCTCTGCTGTTTGCAGATGATGTGGTTCTGTTGGCGTCATCACGCTGTGATCTTCAGCTCTCACTGGAGCGGTTCACAGCTGGGATGAGGATCTGCACCTCCAAATCTGTGTCCATGGTCCTCATTCAGAAAATGGGGGGGGGGGGTCACTCTGTCTGGGTTGGGGGTGAAAATCTGTCTCAAGTGAAGGAGTTCAAGTATCTTGGGGTTTTGTCCTCACGTCAACAAATATGAGTCTGATTAAAAAGAGTGAATAAATGTTGGTCAATAAACTGACCTGGTGCCCCAACAGGTAAAAGTGTGGTGTAGGACAGAAACAGTTAATCTCTCTTTCTGTTTCTCTCATAACAACTTGCTACAGATGGAGTGTGAGATTGATAGATGGATCGGTGCAGCTTCTGCAGTTTTGCAGACTCTGTACTGGTCTGTTGTGGTGAATAGGGAGCTGAGCTGTAAGGCAAAGCTCTCTGTTTACCAATCAGTCTATGTTCCTACCCTCACCTATGGTGACAGACTTTGGGTAGTGACTGATAAAACAAGAACATGGATATACATAAGCGGTTAAAATGAGTTTTCTCTGCAGGGTAGCTGGACTCTCCCTTAGAGATAGGGTAATAAGTTCAGTTATCCTGGAGAGACTCAGAGTAGAGCCGCTGCTCCTCCACATCGAGAAGATCCAGTTGAGGTGATCTGTCATGTCATGTGTGTCTTTCTTCGAATGGGTGTTCTTAACTGCAATTTTGTTCTGCATTACATCTTTGTTGTGCGTGAATGACAATAAAGCTGATTCTGATTCATCCATAGCACCACACTTTCCTTCACATTTCACATTGAAAATGTGACTCAATCTGCATACTTTCATCTTCATAATATTAACCATCTCCATCCTTCACTCACTCCCTGCTCCAATGCCATACTTGTACACAGTCTAGTAACTTCCAGGATCAACTACTGCAACTCCCTACTATTACTACTACTACTACTACTACTACTACTACTACTACTACTACTACTACTACTACTACTACTACTACTACTATTATTTGTCCTCCCAATAAAAGTCTTCAAAACTACAGATGGTTCAGAACTCAGCCATCTGTGAAATTACCCAAACCTCATCCTCTAACCACATCACTCCAGTCTTACAACTGCTCCAATGGCTCCCAGTTATATCCTGCATCATTTTCAAAATTCTCCTACACACTTTCAAAGCAATTCACAATCTTGTACCTCCATACCTAACTGACCGAAACATCTCCATCCCCTCCCGCTCTTTCAGATCTGCTGCCTGCCTCCACCTGTCTGTACCCTCTGCCTGCTTCACCACTATGGGAAGCAAGACTTTCAGCCACTCTGACCCTAAACCTAACCTCACAGATACATACCTGACTAAATCTAACCTAACGTCACAGGTACATACCTGACTCTGAACCTAACCCCTGACCCACCAAGAGAATCTCCCCCAATCGGGACTGGGCTTTTGTCCCCATAAGGAACAGTGGGTCCTCAACAGGCTGTGTGCTGGGAAAATAGTCAAAAAAACATCCCCACCAGGTAGGTCTAGAACACCTATCTGTATTGGGACATTGCATTGATGTCTATTCATTTTCAACAACCAAACCCTGACCCCTTATTGTAAATCTAAACCCCTAACCAATCAACTTCCTCCTCATGGAAGTTAGACCAGTCATTTAGACTAGTCCCCCAGCTGATGGACCAGCACTTTTTAACAATTAATTTAACTATTAATTAAAATATACATCTAAATCAGAAAATAAAACTAAGCATAACCTCAGAGAACTGTAAATATTCACTAGAAGGAATTCTTGTAAATAATCTAAACATTTCCTTTGWTTAGATTAGCCCCACTACCAACATGCTATACACCTACCAGACCACACCCCCAATCATTCCTGACCCTGCTCCTAACACTGACCCTCTTCTGTCTAGTTCTTAAGCTAGGTTTATGCGTTGTGCAGGGCGTGATGGTGCACGTGCCRTAAGTGACGCAATTGTGCTGTCCTGCCCCTGTGCGTTGGCCCCGCATGCTGTCCTAGTGCGTGGTCATGCAACTCCGAATTTTTGTAATTCCACAAAGGCTGTGTGCGCAGCACACCATTCAAATAGTCTGTCTGTCAAGCTTTTGCTCTCCTACTTACAGTATTTTCACAACTTATAAAGTGTACTTCCACCTGTCATTTTGGATAAATCTACAACAAAGTAAATGCCAAGAATGAAACTCCTCTACCGCAAGCGAGGGTGCGCATGCACGCTCCAAGGCACGACAATAACTCAGCCTTTACTTCTCTGAACTCTCCTCCCTTGTCTCTATGTAGCACAGCACATGACAAACACTCAATGTACTGACTGAGTTCTATCAAACAGTACACCTACACTCACCAGACTATGCCAGTCATATTTCTCTACATCTTACACAGCACATACAAATCAACAGGCCGTCTCCAACTGGAACAGCCAACTCCACCATGCACTTCCCATAAAGATAGGACCCAGTGGCCCAGGACTGAACCAGATCTCGATCGAACGTACACTTCCTAAGGGATTTACCAGCGCTGTGGACCCATCGGGCGGCAGGTGAGACCATCTGAGTAAATACTCCCTTAACCTGTCCCCTAAACCTAAACTAAACCCCCGACCCACCAACAGCATTTCCCCCCATGGGGACCATGTTTAGGTCCCCACAAGTACCAGCTGGTTCCCACAAGTAGGTATGCATGCCAAAAATGGTCCCCAAATAGTATGAACTACCTGCCCACACACACACGTTTGCACAGCTATCCATTTGGGGACATTCCATTGACTTCCATTACATTTCTACAGCCTAACCCTGACCACAAACCCTAAAGCTAACCTCACAGGTACCTACCTGACCCTAAAGCTAACCTCACAGGTACCTACCTGACCCTAAAACTAACTAAACTCAATTCACACCTTGGTCCTAAACCCAGCCCACAACTCACCAATGGTATTTAAACCAAATGGGGATTCGACTTTTGTCCCCAAATGCACCAGTTGTCCCCAAATGTTGGTGTTTTGTCTTAAAATTGTCCCAAATATCACCAAAACAACCCCCCCCCACACACACCAGTGTAACGTTTTTAAACATATTTTACACACCATATAAATAACTTTTTTAATATTCTCACTCATTAACAGGTTAGAGTATTAGGGACAGAGTGTCATATCTAAAGACTCTCTGCCCCTGGTAGCCCTGTACACTTTAAACACTTTTGGCCATCAAACCCAGAACCATATAGTTGGAGGGCAACGCCTCTCCCTTTCTAAACGGTTTTGTGTGTCATCTGATTCAAGATTTAATGTGACCTGATTCATCTTCTTGCTGCAGGTACCAACCTGTTTGTTGTAGCAGCTCATGAGTTTGGCCATGCACTTGGCCTTCCACACTCAGCTGACATCGGAGCCATCATGTTCCCAGCATACTACTCTGAACCCAATTATACCCCCCAGCTGTCTTTTAGTGATGTCAGAGACATCCAACAGCTCTACGGTGAGTGTCAGTCTAAAGGCAAAACTGCCAAAAGTTCTCTCTTAAAAGAACATCTGATGAATCTTGTTTCTTGGAATTCACCAATTTCGTTTCTTCAAGCTTGTTGAGAAGGACCATTCAAGAAAGTAATCTTTAGATTTTTATCTCTTAAATGATTCCTTCTGGAGTCAAACTAATTCAAGTTCATGCATTAACTTATGGAGCTACATTGAGGTCATAAGTTTTGTTAAAAAATAAAAAAAATTTGAAACTGACAAAAAGATTTGAAAATAAAAAATATTTTGAAACTGAAAAACAATTTTGAAACCAAAAAAAATAATTTTGAAACTGAAAAAGAAATTATTTGAAACTGAAATACAATGCATTAGTATCTGGAAAAGTTTCAAACATCTTCATTTTCAAATCTCCTTTTTCAGTTTCAGTTTTTTTTTTGAACAAAACTTAAGACCCAAATTTAGCTCCATATTAACTCACTTTCAAGGTTTGATCCAACCACAGACAGACACTAGGAGCTCAGAACAAAACCTTTAATAAATGCACAAACAGCAACTCTGACAAGGCAGTGGAACTTCCAGAGTCTCTGGGAGGAGCCAATCGAACCGAGACATAAACCCAAGAATGAGACATGATGTGAGGTGGACAGAAGCAGAGCTTAATAAGGTGATTTTCAGCTGGTGTGAGCATCAGAAACCTTGAAAGGCTGACAGAAGGTGAAATAAGAAGTGACACAGGAAGAAGACAATAAAATGCCAGAATATCAAACAATAAAACAGAGACTGAGAGGATCTAAAGTGAAGTAACAGAACACAAAGAAGGATAAACACAAGAACCCTAAGCAAKGTCCAAAACCAGAACCAGCTAAACAGAAGAACAAGAATCACAACAGCTTCCTTCATATTTACTCTGMACTATGATTTTAGTCTAAAACTCGGTCAACGTTTTGAGGACGGGTTTACTTGTAAATGTTATTGTCCCCCATCACAGAGACAGGGGACAAAGTCCGTCTGTCTGTTACAAATTCAGGAAGCTGCAACTTTCATATAGAAAGGCTAAAATACACCAAACTTTGTGAGAGTCATCCATGTTGCAYGTGGTCATATGTCTGATATGACATCATCAAAGTCTTGACCAGARGAAGTGACTTTTTCCTTGGAAATCTTCATCACTGGACCTCTTGGCCTAATCAGCATAATTATGTGTCAGAACACATAATTAGTTTATGTCACTTGCTTTCAACCACAAAGACTTTTTGGTGAAAGGCGTGATCATGACAGTGTGGCGAAGTTAGATATCACGTCATTGACATTCGTTTGGCTCTAAATTCAACATATTTTAGCCAGTTTGCATGCAATTTATAATGGTCAATTCTAATCCACCCTACTACAGGAATGCAGTCCAATTTTAAGGGTGTGGCCTAATTCCYCCACAGCACCCCCTACAATTATTTACAAAATTAGCCCCAAGCCATGCTTGGACCCRGAATTATGAAATTTGGTRCACACRTGTAACKTCTCAGGRSCTAMAARAAGTTTCTTCATGGTCRAATTCCTACTGGAAGTCGTCCATTTTGGATCAAAGATGCCAATTTGTCTTTTTTCTTGCACATGTATCTGAGTTAACTCATCCTACAGCAGGGGTGGGCAATCCTGGTCCTCGAGGGCCGCAGCCCTGCATGTTTTATCTTTTTCTCTGCTCAAACACACCTGATTTGAATGAATGGGTGATTATCAGGCTTCTGCAATATGGAAGACCGAAACTGACATAATTAAAAATAAAAGCGGAAATATATAAATTGACTAATAAATAAATACACTTAAAGTGCACCAATAAAATT